AATATAATGAGACCGAACATCAAGAATTTACAAATAGTAACAAACATTATGTAGCAAAAGTTTACCCTGAAAAACAGGTGTGCTCAGAAATAGATTCACATTTTTTTCTTCCAGATACATAGACTGGGACTCCCCTTCAGGCATGCACACCATATTTTCTATGGAAAGCAAAATACAATGAAAGCAAGGCACAGAGGGAAAACTTCTTACACTCAAGTCTTATCCCAAGAAGTCAGGATTCAAGAGTTAATCACTTATGTCTGCTATAGAATAAGCTCCATATGTCTATAACCAGAGTTAATAAACATTTAAAGTTATGTGTAGTTGATAAAAGCACTCGTCGGATTTGGCTTTGGGTCATCTCTTTTTATAGAGTTGAGTAGAAGGCCACTGAAATTATTTCCCTAGACAAAATACAGTACCCTCCTGATAGAAATGCTAGAGGCATAGGAAATGTGATTAAGTATTGTCTTTGGTATTTTTGCAAATCTAAAAAAATATAAATAAACTGGAAAACTCATCACTGCATTAACATTTGTCATGGGCTTCTGCAGCATATCAAATGTAAGGAGGAAGATCTAGAAACACGTATCATCAGGGAGGTAGGGCTTCCATAGGTGTGATTCTGAACTTGAAAAACTGCAAGGGACATGATTCCTCGATCTATGACAATGCTGTGAGTTGGTTCCTCTATTTCCTCAAATTCAGGTGTCTAGATTGTGCAAAATCTCCTGCCAGTTAGTTTGTGTGGATTCAATGTTCATAGACCTAACAGCGCAATAAAGATACCGTTATCCTCCTTATGTCTTAGAATACCTTAATAAAAGTGTCTTGTTCTTTATAACTACTACGTGTTTCAGTGCAGTTCTTACAAGACATGGAACATATTTAACAATATAACACATATAGTGCAAGTTTGTACTGGTAACCAAACATCTTTTCAGAATAAAGTCTTCACATTTCAAGCCCACAATTTGCTGAGAAGGTGATTTGTTCATATAACCATTCTTATATTTACCAAAAAAATTAGCCCTTTCTATTAGTGATGCCATTATTCGAGAATATCAAAGCAAAGTTTGAGAGACCACACAAAGGTAGCTGTTTTACTGAATCTTACTATTTGGGTACTACTGCATTCAGATCAACTATTTTTAATTGAAATTGTGTCTCAGGAACACTCAGCTTTAATTATGAGCTTGATCAGTTAGATTGACTGGTGCTGTATAAACCCAGAACAAAGAGAGCATCATTAATCACTTCTCTCATCTGCCTTTTCTCCATTAATCAGTTGCTAATATTATACAGAAAATTAAATAATTCACTTGTTTTCATTTTTATTCCTGTAAAATTAATTTCAGCAGCAGATGGACAAGTGTACTTTTTTCATTTAGATGAGTAATGCATTTTAGAAGAGACCTTCTTCGTTGCAGCATCTAATCATTTCAATTTTGCAAATGTAGGCCTCAGTACTGCAAATACATATACATGAAAGACCTGTATAGTCCCATTCAAGTCAGGTAGTGGCATCAGGATTTAAAAATTTTCCACACAATTCAAATACTGTAAACTTTTATGATCGGCAATTCTAGAATCCTAAATCTAAAAAATAACACTCTGCTCTTGAGGCTTCAAAATTTTTATTACAAAAGCTCCCTAAACTTCTGCTACTTGCTGTGCACTCAGCCCCTCCAACCCTTGTTGATGGCACTAAGCAATCTGGTGCCTTATCCATATCAGGATCATAAATCTCTACTTTGTTGCTGAGACTGAACTGTAAGGTCATTTCAAAATCTGCCATGATGTCTTCTCATGCTGCTGAGAGCCCTGACACTTCAATAAGGGACATTAATTACATTAATCAGCAGAGCTCCCAAAATTAGGGTGCTGGAGGACTGAGTTTTAGGCTCACTGCATATGTAGCACCACGCACCTAAACTATAATAGTGTATATACTACAGTATGGTAACCACTGACTGTTTTAAAGGGCTATTTCTATAGAAATGCCTTTTTCCCCTTATGCACAGTACACACAATACCATGAAATTCTGAAGTGTTAAACACTGCTATTCAGCAGGTCTTCTTCGTAAAATTAATTAAAAACCAAAAATATTTTCCTTTTGAGATATTAAGGAAGCTCAGTTAGAACAAGTAGTATTGCTGTTCCTCCTGAAAATTTTCTAACATGGAACAATATGGGTTTTAGCCCTTTTGTGCATAGAATATCCTGGGATGGGCCTAGGTCATGAGCTGCAGTTTGTCCTTGCAAATTCTCTGATTCCACTTTATTTCTGCTGCTGACTAAATACTTTCCACTGTAGTCTTTCTTCCTTTTCGCCATGTCAAAAAGGAAGAATGATGCAGTAGTTGGAAAAAAGAAAGATATCATAATTTTATTTGGAACTACACCAAATAATGAAATGTTTTCAGTTGGAAAATCAAGAATACCTGTCCTTGTTAACATTGCTCACTGAAGAAAATCTAGAGACAAATTTGCGTTATCAAATAGTTCAATATACTTAAATAATTTATGTTTTTTCACTTCTTCAATTACAGGAATATTACAAGATTTTAGATTTCCCTAATTCAATGGGCACATCTGATTGGGCCATGTATTTCACATTTAATAAAGGGCCACAGATTTAATAGATACTTAATTTAAGTTGATTTAATGTAACATACCTAGTGGAAATATAATATATATTATATGATTTTAAATTTCTTTGGTATAACATAAACTCACATCTTCATTAAGCTCTTCTATGTCTGAAGACACATTTACTTTATAACTATGACCTTGACTTACAAAACTGAAGTTACAGTATTGAATGCCAAAGCTGTATTTGGGTATTTAAAATGTAAACATGATAAAAATTAATTACTACATCAGTGTTTTTCATACACTGCTATTATTTTGAATAGATTCCACTACAGAAGAATTAGTGGGCAGGGTAGATGATAATCAAAATTAAAAGCATGCATTAGAGATGAATGAATCTGATTTAGTGAAATACATTTTGACACAGCAGTTGTTTCTTGTCAGTTCAATAAGTTTTACTCAGGGGATATCACTTCTAGCCATAATCTGCATGCTTCAAATGATAATCTGCTTTACACATAACTGCTCTTTGTCTGAATTCATGCAAAGTTTGAGAATAACTATACTTCTAATTTTTCATAGCTTATTGCATCTAATAGTGAATTTTAGAACTGTGTTTATGGAATGTCATGAATTCAATAAGACAGAAAAATAACTGTTTCCTTGCACAGTTAATATATGCTTGAAATGACTTGAGTAATGTCTGATCTTAATGAAATATTTATTTAAAAGGATATGGTCTCATTTTTAGCATATTCCTCCAGCCCCAATAAACTACCAATGTAAACCAGCAGTCACCCTAAATGCCTGTGAATACCTTCTGTAAAGGTACTCCCCAAAAGAAACATCAATACTCTAGAGGCAAAAAGAGGTGCTGAAAACAGTTTTAAATTTATAAACATCGATTCTTAGCTTATAGGTGTGTTTAACATAGACATATCAGAAAGGACGAAGTGTGTCTCAGATTTGAGGTCAGTATATCAGGGCATTATGACTGAATAGCATTTATAGATATATTCAGAGAGTGATTAATTCACTGAATATAATGGGAAAGATTTATGCCCACACACCAAAGAGGTTATTTCCTTCACTGGAGCTCAAAATTTCAGTATTTGCAGGCAGAGAGTTACTCTTAGCAAGTTCTGAACAATATACTTTGAACAGTAATTTGTTACTGAAAGGTTAAAAGATATTTACAGTTATCAGCAGGTTATGCACAACAGCTCATTAGCATTGGACTAAAGCAGAAAGGAAATATTGCAAAGAAGCAAAATAGATTAATTAAAACTATATTAAATTACTGTAAAGATCAGAAAATAAAAATTACTCCCTTTTCCTTTTGGTTCAAGCTATTATATGTGGTTCAAGTGTACCCTTATCATTCAAACTATTACAACAATAGAAGCTATCTAGTTTTATATTTCAGTCTTAAAATCTCACTTTGTCCAAATCTACTGGATTCTGAGAAAGTTTTAAAGAAACATGAATAAGAAGCCCTTTTTTTTTTTTTTTTAAGTTGTCATAACCAGATACAATTTATTCAGAAAAAAAATCAGAATAAAATTCCAGGGATATACTGAAAATTAATATAGCAAATATTCAGAGGATATTCTCCAGTGATATCCCATGCAAATATTCAGCTGTGAGAGGGAAAGAGAAGGAAGAAGTACTTGCCCTTTACAAAGTATGGCCCTTGATTTGTATTTCCACTGTGGTTTTTGCTGTTTTAATTAATCTTATACACACGAGTGAGGTATGGGTAAGTGCAGAAATCTGAATATTAAAACTGAAAGCTTTTTAATATCATAATACATCACAGCCAGTTAATATGAGAAGATTAAAATCATTTGCTTTCCTTTGTTTTATACCGGTTTTAGAGAAAGTATTTTTTCAATTCAACTAATACTTCACTCCTGCATAAATTTTCATTCATTGTTCTTTTTGAAGAATTTGTACCTAACAATTCAAATTGACATAAATCCATAAACCTAGCTTTGACAATCCACCATTTCAACTCAAATACAAGGAGAAAGAGATCTGAGCGTGAAGGGCCTATTTTATCCCTCATGGAGCGGGAGTAAGATTTTCCCAAGCACCCAAGAGAACTGGATGTTTAGCTCATTTTGATGCTTTTGTTAATTACATTACTAGACTACCTGTCTATTAAGATTTCACAAAGGATGCATAAGACTGTCTGTTTTTTCTAGTTCAGTATGGTATAGAATGGCAGATAACACTGTGTTTGACAGGTACAGGCAGATCCCCTGTATTATTTATCTCCTTTTTATGACATTTATTTAAGTTATCACTATCTCGTACATCCCTGCTTTTCAAATTTTGCAGCTGCCTCAGTGTTTATTTGTGGTTTTGTTGTTTTGTTTTGTTTTTTGTTTTTTTTTTTTAGTTGGATATACAATGAATGATCTCATTTTTGAATGGCAAGAAAAGGGAGCAGTTCAAGTAGCAGAAGGTCTCACCCTGCCACAGTTTCTTTTGAAAGAAGAAAAGGATTTATGTTACTGCACCAAGCATTACAATACAGGTAGGAAACCATCTTAGTGATCAAAACTGGAAAGATACTTAACATTTATTGTTACTTTGAAGAGTTTGAGGTTTTTTTAAATATTCTCACTGAACTCACAAGATTAAAATGTACAGGTGCATTGTACAGGAAAATGTGGTCTTAAATAATGGATATAATGAAACAAAACTACCTGAAGGCTGATCAAACTTCTATTTCAGTAAACTTAAAACACAGTACAATAATTCAGAAGCAATTCAGTCAGGAGTTTTAGTTTTATAGTGAGTGTCATGACCACATCTACACTGTGGGATCTGAAGCACTGCTCAAATCCAAAGGTCCATAGGATGTGCACTAAGCATGGCTGGGCTCCATCAGGAAAAAGGGACACAGGGTTGCCAAACTAGCTGTCCCTGCCCTCATTCTTACAGCAAGGGGGCAATGAAAACAAGCTGAAAGCATCTTTAATGTACAATGACCAGCTGTCCAAACTAGATGTGGCCTTTCTGAGTTGAAGCCTTTGTAGAACTGCAATGTTAACTCATCATCTCTGGGATTATTTGAAAAAGGGGGAATCTTGATATTATTAATACAGTTATTTTATTTTTAATTGTAAAAATTATTATAAATATTTCAATAACTGGACAGTCACAAGCATAATAATCCTCAAAAAACATGTAGCAAAGACTAAGAATCCATAGTTTCCATCTTCTCGTGGGAAAAAAAAAAATACAACTCTTCTATTCTAATCCATATCACTTTTATTTTCTGCTCTCCAATATGATTTGTAATAGATTAAACATATCTTGAAATATAAATTTAAAACTGATTTATCTGAATTCTGCTGAAATGGCAGAAGGGATAAAATTCAATAGGTGACATTCATAAAGAATGTTCTTTTGCAATCAAAATTATGGAAGAATGACATTTTAATATGTGCCTGTAAATGTACTTCTATAATCTGTATAGTGATATTAACAAATGAGAATTTGTGGTAGAAAGCATTCCCCTCATTTTTTCAAATTTCATTTCAACAATATGACGCATCAAAAATCTCTGAGGAATTAAAGCATTACTGTGGTACTTAATCTGATATTGAGTGGAAACCTGTTTAAAAATGTCAGAATTTCTGGTGATTTCCAAATATCTCTCCAAACATCTCATCCAAAGCTGAACTGTACTCTTACTCATTTGTCTGAGAATCTTTATTACAATCATCTTAGTTTAAACCTTTTGATTTTGACTGAAACTTCATTTTTTCAGTATTTTTGAGCCACTATGTTTCTCTTTATAACCTATGTTTCAAGCCTATTTAAGTTGGTATTCATTTTCTTCTAAGCAGAAATAGGAAAACATGCCAGGCCTAGGTCGCATGGGGTCAACTTACATCTACTGTATTTTCACTGTGGCCCTAAACTGAGATAAGAAGTGAGAGGTACAGATGTTACTAACTTCATGCGAGGTCTCATGACTCTCAAACTGTGCCTGCAAAACAAGTGTGCTTATCCTTCTGAAATGCTGTCACATTTAGGTGGGAGAAAGTATTTACTGACATAACTCTCAGGGACAGCCTGGCCAATCATCAGTCTGTTAAATTTCTGTATTGCTTTGGCCAAACTACATCTCTGTGGCCAGACAGGTGCTCTAAAATGCGAATGCAGCCCACAGCCCTGAAAAGGTGGCTGAAGTTTGTGTCTCCAATTAAAAAAAGAATTGGACCATTTAATTTGTCCATAAAAACTCAAGCCATTTACTAATACAGAAAATTTGGAAGCCTGGATGCAGGCACACACCATATACACTTCAGGATGGAGACTTTAAAAGACCTCAGCAACAAGAAGACAGTTGCACAGTTGTGGGACCTGCCTATGAGTAACAGAGGGAAAAAAATGCAGTGCTGACTGGTACCAGCTGCAGGCAGAAAGCTACGTCATCACCTGAGGAAAAGCTGAGTGACCTGCTCTGAGTTACAGCACCAAAAGAACAGGTACGAATCTGGAAGAACTTTGGCAGGGCAAATCAGAAAGAAAAGATAGTCTTAGCCATGCAGGACTACATTTACTGTGACATTCTTCTCCAAGATAACAGTATTTCCTCCAGAATTTTTTTTTTTTTATTATTTAAGTCTTCAGTATGAAGTTAATTTAATCAAATTAGAGGGGTTTGGTTGGTTTCTAGAAGGGTGGGAGTGCCTTTAATTTCTTTGTTACAACCAGTATTATTAACTACTGTGTATAGACTAAAAAACCCTAAACATTTTATTAAAAGACAACAACAATTATGTCATTTGAATATGTGACTAATAATGTGCTTGCTTAAGGCTTCTGCAATGAGATACTGTAGACAGATACCCTTTATGATACTCCACAAGAAACAAAAAAGAATCATTTTTCAAAACTAGAAATAAAGCCTATTTCTCTGGCCTGCAACAGATTTGATTAAAATTATCCTTAAGAGAATGCTAAGCAACTGCAGCTGGTATGCAACAAGTGACCAAAGAAGAGTTTTCAATTTAAATTTAATAATTACCACACAGGATGGAAAGCTTTTTTGAGACATCCCATAAAACAGAAAAAGAAAAAAAAAAGCCTCCCTGTGAAAAGAATTAACATGAAGTTTCAGGACAGCATGTGGAAACTCATCCGTGCGTGTCTCATCAGTGTTTCATGCCCAATTGAAAATGGATCACTGTAACCACAGCCTGAAAAACAAACTGCTTCTAAATATAGGGACATAACAGCTTCAGCAACAGTACAGCAGAATGGCTCATCAAGTCTCATATTCTGAAGTGACGCAACAACATTTCTGATCATTTTCATGTTTTTGCATCCACTGGTATATCTGCAGTGACAAATTTGGGAAGTAGAATCATAGCAGCCAGAAAAATCCCAACATGTGAACCATACATATTACAAGGATGGTCTTGTTCTACCGCATCCTGATTCACTTCCTGTGTCACATGCATTCCTCCCCTGGGCTTTTTTGCAATACTCAATTTTGGTCTCAATCACAGGCAATTTCAATCATGGCTGCACAAAGCCCAATATACGATAGCATGAATTTATGCATAATAGCACTGCCTAACAGGCACAAACAGAAATACTCTGAATCTTGGCTTCACTCCTGCACCATGGATAAGGCACTACACCTGCACTTGAATGATGATGTTCAGAACTCTTACTATTGGTGGGTTTTGGCTCTAAGTATTGGATGTAGTGGTCTTGGAAACAGTATAGCTATGGCTTCTACACTCTCTGCCAGAACTGGTAGGTTCTGTATGTGACCACTTCTAATAATTCTGTATCCTTAATATGGTAAATCTGCGATCTTGCTGAATGGCTCATTTCCTTAACTGCACCTTCCCCATTCAACCTCCTAACACATATGTCCCATGCACAGTGTTTTCTCATGATCCTTTTGGTTCATCCTTAAGATCAATCAAGTTGCTTAACAACCTGTAGGTTGTGGCCCTTCTAGGTCCTATGTTCAACTGACTTAATGCCTTATATTGGGCCATTTTCCTGCCAACATGACAATGATTAAAGGAGAGATAACTCTGATGTCTTACACTGACGACAAGAACTCAAACTGCTACCTGTTTTGACAAACACCTAAACCACTCTTTTTGAGACTACAGCAGTGGCTTTTCAACCCCTCAGGGTTTTTTTCATAGACCGCTTCTCAGAAAAGGAAGTTTGTACTTTCTATCCAGTAGGTATTCTATAGGTGTAAAATCTCTGAAGCCGCTCATTCCTTCACTGAAAAAGGGAAAATTATAAACACTTTGAAAAACAAAGAGTCTGTGACAGGCTGAGGACGTGACCATCACTTCCTGACTCCAACAGGGCATTTTTCTCCACAGAAGAGACCTCAGTTTTCACCCCTGCATTTCTCAAAATTTAAACATTATACCTTAAAGATTCATTGTATAAAAATTCATCAGCTGTCCTGGAAGTAGACACATTACATCTGGATTCTCCTTAGTTTCTACTTCACCTTTTCCTGACCTTGCTAACACAGTGCAACATGACTAGGTTTTCATATCACAAGAGTCTACCTCTTTAGCTTGCTATCTGCCAGGTTCCCAGGCCTTTCCTGCAGAACTGCTGCCTACCCAGCCCATCCCCAGCCTGTATCAGTGCATGAGGTTACCCCATCCTCACCACAGAACTGCATTTTTTCTTTGCTGACTGTCATGATGTTATGGTGGGTCTGTTCTTCCAGCCTATGGATGTCCCTCTAAATGGCAGCTTGATCCTCCATTCTGAGAGAGAGGGGAGTTGCAAGTGCAAATTCTTCAAGGTGAAAAAAAAAATTAGTTGGTCTTGTCCACATTTATTTTCAACTTTCTTTTACTTCAGTCTTTATCAGTTTTGCACTAGTGTTAAGTTTACTACCTGCCCCAGTATTTGTTTCCAAACAAGCTATGTAAAGTCACTTCCTTCAGGAGCAAGAACTTACATAGTCAACGGCAGGTGACAGCACCAGTACTGATATCCCCCAATATGCCACTGAGAACTGCAGACTGTGACTTGAAAGAAAAACCGAATGGTAGTACATTCCGAGAGTCGTTTTGTGAATCTTGGCTTGAGACAGACACCAACAATATATTTTAGAATTTGTCTAGTTTTACATGCTAGGCACTCAAAAATCATAATTTCTAGTCAGGCTGCATGATCATAGAAACACTGGAATGTTTTACAATGAGGAAAAAGCAAGTACTTTTTAAATGAGTTTTATCAGCAAAATATACTCAAATTTCAACTTCTATTTCAGTGCAATTGCAAAAAGTGTCTGGAAACTGCACTTACCAAGTGTGTTTTTGTTACTCTGTCTCCTTAGAGAAGTATGAAAATAATTTCAGCTAAATTATATGTAACCAATTTTATAGACAGTCTTTTGAAATAACCAGTTTTGCATATATACATAATTTATGGAGTAACTCGTTTATTCAAGAAATTTTATCATGGGAAAGCAAAAGGACAGAAAGTATTTAACTGTATTTCAGTAATAAGTAAAGC